AGCTTTCATTCCATATAAAATGCTGTACAGGGAGGAGATAGGAGCTGTGTGAAAGGGCAATAATGGGAGATAGACAGTGAAACAGTATCTGGCTGAGAAGCGTCTTCATTTTTTTAACAGCAGTCACTCTCCACCTCTTTGGCCACCTAAATGTAAAAAAATATATATTTTATTAACCATTTGCCCTCCTGAGGATTTACCCCCCTTAATGACCAGGCCTCTTTTTGCTACTCGGAGCTGCACTAATTCAACTGATAATTGCGCGGTCATGCAATGCTGCACCCACATGAAATTTACATCCTTTTTTTCACACAAATAGAGCTTTCTTTCAGTGGTATTTGATCACCTGTGCACTTTTTATTTTTCACGCTATAAACAAAAAAAGACCAAAAATTTTGAAGAAAAACGATATTTTTTACTTTCAGCTATAAAAAATATATAGTAAACTCAAAGTTAGTTATAAATTTAGGCCAAAATGTATTCTGCTACATGTTTTTGGTAAAAAAAAATCCCAATAAGTGTATATTGATTGCTTTGTGTGAAAGTTATAGCGTCTACAAACTATGGTATAGATACTGCAATTTACACAATTTTTTTGCTATACAGCGCTGCGCTAGTTTAATGGACAATTGCGCGGTCATGAAATATGGTACATAAATGAAATTTACATCCTTTTTTTTACCACAAACTGAGCTTTCTTTCGGTGGTATTTGATCGCCTGTGCATTTTTTATTTTTTGCGCTATAAAAAAAGGCTGACAATTTTGAGGAAAAAAAAAACAATATTTTGGACTTTTTGCTATAAAACATGTCCAGTAAAAAAAAATGTAAAAATCTAATTTAGTCATAAATTTCTGCCAAAATGTATTCTGCGACATGTCTTTACTAAAAAAAAAACCCCAATACATGTAAATTAATTGGTTTACATGAAAGTTATCGCGTTTACAAATGGTGAGAAAGATACTGGGATTTTACATTTTTTTTTAATACTAATAATGGCGGAGATCAGCGACTTATAGCGGCGATCAGTGACTTATGGCGGCGATCAGCAACTTATGGCAGGACTGCGGGACTGTGGCGGACATTCTGACACTGGGGGGAAACTGATTTGGGGTCACTGACATCCCCAGTGACACCAATACAGTGATCAGTGCAAAAAAAAAAAACACTGACACTGTACTAATGGCACTGGGGAGGAAGGGGTTAACTTTTTTATTTACTGAAAGGATTAACTGTGTGAGGGGAGTGTTTTACTAGGGAGCGGGGGTGTGTGTACTGCAGGGGAACACACTCTTCTCTCTGGATCAGCATGTCAGGAGCTGACAGGGAACTGACAGAAAGCAGGGCTGCAGTGTAAACACTGCAGCTGTCCTCTCTGTCAGTGATTGCCGCTAATCGCAGTAGGTAATGACCGACCGTGACCCGGCAACTGACACCCGCGGCCACGATCGGCGGGATGGGTAGGGCGGGCATGCGCCTTGTGTGCGCCCCCTACCTGTTTTGCAAACGCACGTTTTAAAACGTGGTTTTGCCCAGCCGTATTTCTACAGTGGCTGGTCGGCAAGAAGTTAAAGTGTAAAATAAATAAAACAGCATGTTACCAAACACTCAGAGATTAGAGTAATACAGTACCAAGTACTGAGAGCCCCGAGTTCAACACATTGAGCCATGTGGCTCTAAAACAACTAATATGAATAAAGTGGATTAACCTCCCTAGCAGTCTGATTATGTCAGTATTTCTGTGCTCAAAGTGATACATTTTTTTGCATGGAAATATGTTGTTTTTTTTATTGTAGTTCTGTAATTCTTAGGAATAACTCACTGAAATCTGTCCGAACAAGAGTCAAGTAAACATCCCGGGTATGATAAAATTTGAAACATGAAATCATAAATTATAATATAATAAATAATCATAAAAAATAATAATATTATAATAATAAATTTATTCAATAATGTAATCAAACCAAAAATACTGAAATTTGAAACAGAGCGCCAAGTTCGCACATCACTGAGCTTAGTCGCAAAATCATTTTCAGTGTCTGATGACAAATTTCCCCACAAATCATTATCACTCAATTCTGCAAGTAGTTCTAATTTACTATCGCTGTTCTCTAGCTGGTCTAAAATCACTTTTGACCTAAAGGGACGCTTTTTGGATGCCATGGACGTTTCTCAGTTTCCAGGCAGAAAGAACAGTAAAAATGCAAGCAGGGCACAGGACAAATCACTAGGGACAAAATGTATATGAAATTCTTTGATACAGTAATGTTATACTATGACATTTTAGTGTATTGAGTGAATGTCACTTTTAAAATTTTTGAATTTCCCACCGGTTGCGTCCCCCGTATGTCCCATACATCCCGACGCTCACAGGGAAAGGAATTTGGAAGACAGATGCCAGCATCGGCCGGAGGAGATGGCCAGGGATGCTGTAGGGGGGACATCGCAGCAGCGCAGGACAAGGTAAGTGCTGGAGGGAATCCCTGAGCAATGCTGCAGTGTAATTCCGGGTGTAGCTCGGGGTTACCGCTTCTGGTACTGAAAGTTAACCCCGAGCTACACTCGGGAATACCGCCAGGGGGGTTAATAGACCATAGAGGTTGAAACCAAATCAAGTGATACATAGTAAAATAATTGTTTCTGGAAGAGTGAAGGGATAACGTATGATGTACAGTACTAAAAAAGAAAAACAATTTATCCTAGCTAATGGTAAGATCCTGCTGCAGATCTATGGTGCATACCTATGGGAAAACTGATGCCTATCTATTGCTCTAAGTAGAAATGACATACCTGCGCTTAGGTATTCAGCACTCTCTATTTTTCTGGAGTGTACTTTACTATTTAAGCATAAGATGGGTATATTGAGCACTCTCTGATGATTAATAAAGCTGAGTTAAGTGCTTCTGTTGATCCAAGGAAAAAGTGGATAGCATTGGTTTAACTATTTGATTGATGTTTCTCTTGGTAATGGTATATGATCTTCCTTGGCTGGATATGTCTATTTAAACAGCTCAGTATGGACGTTTATCCAGGCCCTAATGATTTAATTTGTGACAAAACCGGTAGTACACTCTACTGAGCATGTGCAAAGGAACAGCTGCCATCTTTGATGCTGGAATTCCATATTACTGTACCATGTGATATGCTGTGTTACTTCTGGACATTTGTAAGTGCTTAGACCTAATAAATTCCTTTTTATGGGTGGTTTTACCCTGTGTGGACTATCTATTTTATCATATGACCATCGGTCCTGCTGAGCTAATTTCCTGTGGTACAGTGGTTCAATGCAAGTTGTGCATGTACATGGTGACAACTGACAGCAAATTCCTGGTGTCTCTGTGGATGAGTGGAGGCTGGAAAGCATCATTTCCCTGGGGAATTTATTTATGTATATGTGACTGCTCTTATATGGAAGGTCACATTATTTGGTATGCCTTGTGTGTGATCGATGACACTTGGGAGACTTTACAAGTGTTTGAGGGTGATAAAGTAGGGAGCTCATCCTATTTTTCTCATCATGGCTTCCTTCCTAGTAAATTTTCTGCTGTATAAGCCTCTATATTAATTCCTGCATTTAAGCACTTTGTTGATTTATGTTTTTGTTTATTACCACAATTTCAGTTTATGTAACGCATTTTGATTTTGTATTGCTGTTAACAATAGACATGGGTGGGGGTTGATCCTGGTTAGTACTTGGGAGACTTTGGTGGTAAGATCTTGATGATTCATTGGACCATTTTGCATTACTATTTATATTTATCATTTTGGTTTTGAGTTTGTGAGAACTGCACTTGTTATATACCTATATCTATTGCCCTAGGAAGAGCCTGCATTTGTAACATTGCATAAAGTTGTTGTGGTGAGTTCCGACATTGGGCCTAGAAGGAGGTAGAAGAAGAGATTAATTGTCCTCACGCTGTATGAGTTGCTTTCTGAGAAACCATTTGGTAAAGTGAAATGGATGAAGGAAATGTTCCACCTCCTCCTTATTATAAGTAGATTTGATATACATTTTATAAACTGTTACAGACAGCGTTTAAGTCATTGATTGAGCCACCAGACTTTCTGCAGTGTGCAAGCATTCTCCTTGCTCTTTTAAAAAACTCACTGTCAAATAAAGTTCCTTCTTGGTGAGTGCTCTAATCTTGCAGCTTTTATTTTTCTTTGTGATTTACTAGGGTCTTTTTTCTTGTCAATAGTCTGAAAAAATGGACAAGCAAGCCACTTCACTTTAAAAGGGTGAGCTCCTAGCAACAATACTGACAGGTTTTGTGTTGGAACTGACTAGGGAAAGCTGATACATCTTCATAGGGAGAGATACATTGCAATCCAATGCTAAACTGTGCAATAGAGTGCCATAAAGGGCTACATTATAGCTTGCAGTGTGACAAGCTATATTCTATTGTGAACTCCATGTATTTACAGTTCCATAGACATACATTTTTTTTTTTCTGCTCAACCCAGTGAGCTAAATTAACCTCCCTAGCGGTCTGATTATGTCCATATTTCCTGTGCTCAAAGAGGGACATTTGTTTGCAGGGAAATATGTATTTTTTTTTATTGTAGGCCTGTAATTTTTAGGAATAACTCACTGAAATCTGTCCGAACAAGAGTCTAGTAAACATTCTGGGTATGTTAAAATTTGAAACACGAAATCATAAATTATAATTTAATAAATATTCATAAAAAATTATAATAATAAATTTAATTCAATAATGTAATCAAACCAAAAACACTGAAATTTTAAATATAGCGCCAGGTTCGCACATCGCTGAGCAAAGTCGCAAAATCGTTTTCAGTGTCTGATGACGAATTTCCCCACGAATCATTATCACTCAATTCTGCAAGTAGTTCTAATTTACTATCGCTGTTCTCTAGCTGGTCTAAAACCGATTTTGTCCAAAAGGGACGCTTTTTGGATGCCATGGACGTTTCTCAGTTTCCAGGCAGAAAGAACAGTAAAAATGCAGGCAGGGCACAGGACAAAGCACTCAGGACAAAATGTATGTGAAATGGTTTGGTACAGTAATGTTATACTATGTGGTTTTAGTGTATTTAGTGAATGTCACTTTTTGTCATTTTCAAATTTCCCACCGGTTCCGTCCCCCGTACGCCCCGATGTTGCAGGGGACGGAACCCAGAAGACAGATGCCGGCATCTGCCGGAGGACATTACAGGGGACACTGCAGGAGGGACATCGCGGGAGCGCAGGACAAGGTAAGAGAAGAACAGATCCCGGAGCAGCGCTGCATGGTATTCCCGAGTGTAGCTCAGGGTTACTGCTTTTGGTACTGAAACTTTACCCCGAGCTACACTCGGGAATACCGCCAGGGAGGTTAAGAAACTGAGAGATTGACATACTAACACAAATGATGTTAGTGCGGCAATCTCCCCCTGCTGTTCTTTTGTGTTCTGACAGGGGGATTGCCCCCCCTCTGGCAGAACACATTGATCAATGCTGGCAGTCATTGGCTGCCAGCGCTGATCAGATGCTGTTCGGATGCTTGTTTTCCAGCATTCTCATTCAACAGAAGCTGGTCTTAGATCAGATTCTGCAGAATAGACAGCTGTACACACAAGTCGAAAGTCAACCAGTTTCTGCTGAACTGACCATTTTCAGCCGATTTTCATTTGTGTACCCAGTTTTACTGTCATTATTAGGGCTCATTTTTCTGTATCTGCAGCAAGGATGCTTAATAACAGAACGTTTCTGTGCAGCTCAATTTGAAGTTTTTTTTCTTCTGTGATTTAGTACGGTCATTTTTCTTTTAACAGTTTTCTATTGTATGTACTGCTATGGTTATAAGAAGTGTGTGGTTAGCCTTTAATGGTTAATTTATAAACATTGGATTGGGAATATGCTATTTGAGTTTTTCTTGCTAGGGATTTTTATGTTTAGGGTTTGAAACATACACTTGCTGCCTGCCATATTGCTGTGTAGTAACTAGTGTTTATCAAAAGCACCACAAATTCACCCCCTGTCACCATAGTTTCAGTAAAAACTAGACATTACATTCAACTCTATTAAAATAAATTGCATTGAGAGGCATGTTTAAAAGGATGGGATGCTGTTCAGGATGGTAGTGGGAGGTTAGCAGCAGGTCCTGCAGGACATAGCAGTAGTAGGGCCACACAAAACTGGAAGTATGGCACGTATGCCTTTGTTTTCCTAAAGTGGCCAACCAATACAGTATCAGCAAATCCAGCAAATAGTTGGCTGGCCTTCTACAGCTATATATCCCCCAGATGCTGAACAGCCATTTGTCTGCCATCATTACTAATGTACTCTGTCAGTGTTGCTGTGCTGTTATATAACACCTTATACAGCTTTAACACATCCTTCAAATCTGGAAATATAGGATTGCAATACCTTCAAAGTAGCCCTTAAAGCCACATGAAAAGACCTTCTCCCTTTTGTACATTATTTTTTCCCATTTCAATAAGTTTTTATTGAACGTTGACAATGGCTTTCCAGTTTAACAACACATCTTGTAATAGAATGCTGTAACATGAAAAATATACTACTGTGCATCTGTTCTAGGAGCACAACTGGACTATATTAGCAGACCTGTATCATAATAACTTGGCTTATCCTAGCATAAGCTGGATTCAGTAAGCTAAAAACTTTGGTGTAACTCAGATTCAGTGCCGCTGTATTAAAAAAATACAAATTGATTGACTTGTATAATTGAACATTACCCTTTGTTTACCCTACTAGTAGGTCATACAAAGAGAAATCTCCTGACAGAAGCTATATTAAAGGCAAATACTGTTTAATATTGCTGTAGGCGTCAGATAAAATATTTATATAAACAGGGCAGAAGAAGTAAGAATTAGACGTGAGTTAGGGAAACACTAAGAAAAGGTCAAAGGAAAGGATTAGGGGTTGGTGGGGCCAGGGAATGAGTCTTGTTGGAGGGCAGCAGCACAAGAGTGAGCCATATCAGTAGTTCACTTTTCAAAAACAGCAGGGACCTTTCAGAATCTTTAGGATGGCAATGTTCTATCCCTGGGGACCATACCACTCGAATTTTTGGGTTGTACTGCATTGTGAAGTATTACAGCCATTTTTAATATGAATCAGATACCATGTCATCTTACGTTCCATCTGAGTAATTCTTGAAGTTGAGGATCACCATGCCTCTGGCAAACCATGGGGGACCATATACCATCTCATTAGTAAATTGTAGCTGGAATCTATAGCTGATGTGTCACTAGAGCAGTGTGCCATAGTTTAGATATCATGCAAATAGAGGTTAGCAATGTATTATCTCCCAGCGAGCATTCCATTAATATTTTATGATAAAGAACTAGCTGCAGAGCTAACATTATTTTTTCAATTCTGCAATTGGTACATATCCCCCATGGTAGCACCTAATTTCCTTTTTGAAAATAGTTTGATTATAAGCCCCACAAAAGGAACCAAATAAATATCAAAATTGCACCCTTTTAGACTTGGGGTTTATCACAAAGTTTGGATTTTCCAAATTTTGATGGCGCTTCATGAAATTGGCCGAAAATTGAACCCGGGCAGGTTTGTTCATTCATAATTGTAAGTCATGTATCTTACAACATTGTGTTACGCAGGTTCCTAGCTGTAGTTTATAGATATAGCTCCCATTCCAACCATCTTCTTTTCTTATATTCGCTAACATTACCGTACTATGAAAAAATCAATCTCCGGTCAATAAAGTAAACACTCCATTCTCTCTTAATGGACTTTATGCTTCTTCTAATTATATCTATATGGATATATAGCTCAAATAGATTATTTTTTGATTGATTGCTTCAGTTCCTCCATTATTACGTTGACTACATATTAAAGCATAGTGTTACCAGATTCTGTTTGAAATCTCTCAGGGCTGCTTTCAAGCTAGACAAGATTATTTTGTTTTTGGTTGCAAACATATTTTTTTTTTTACATTGACTGCTCTTATATGCTCTTTTGGAGACCAATAACGGAGAAGTTATTTTGACTACATATTAAAGCATGTGTTACTTCTGTTTGAAATCTCTCAGGACATAAAGATTAGATTATTTTGTTTTTTGTTGACTACATATTAAAGCATTAGTGTTACCAAGATTCTTTTGAAATCTCTCAGGGCTGCTTTCAAGCTAGATAAGATTATTTTGTTTTTGGTTGCAAACATATTTTTTTTTCTTTACATTGACTGCTCTTATATGCTCTTTTGGAGACCAATAACGGAGAAGTACTATTGGCTGAAGGACATAAAATTAAATATTATGAGTTATTTCACCTTTTCTTGCCCTAGAGCAGCAGTTTGGTTTATCCTTATACAGCAGATTCCACTCGAAATATATGGACTCTGTCTTCAGCTTTAGCAGCTGTATTTTCCCTTATCTCACCATGAGGGGAAATGAGCAAATCTATGGCAGGTTGTTTTGTGGAATGTTGTAGTTCAACCTAAAATTGTATCCAAAGATGCTTGCATGGCTGCAAGGCAATAAAGATCAGTCATTGTCAATGAGTCTAAAAGAAAAGTAAGATGTGTACTTTTTTAAATGATAAAGTTCTAGTTGGGAATGATGCATACAAGAAATAGGATTGCTTAGTGCAGATTTGTAAAATTCTACAACCAATACTTTACGTAGCCTTACTTTTTCATACATACTACATACTAGATAAAATGTTAGTGAAATTGTCTGGCTTTAGGATCACTCCCAGATGTATCTCCCTAATTAAAGAGGAGTTCCAGCCATTTTTGTGTTTATTAAAAGTTTTTGTAGCTGCTTTAATAAACACACACTTACCTGTCCCGGGGTCCAGCGATGTACTCACCCCATGCAGTCCGTTCTCTCCTTCTGTCCTCCACGGTGCCAGCATCTCTACTGTGGGCACCAGGCTGTGACAGCTTGCGGCTTCACAGTCTGGTGCCCACTGCACATGCATGAGTCGTGCCACGCCTCCTGATTGGTCCGGCAGTCTCCTGGGACCTGTGAAAGTTTCCAGGAGACTTTGGGAGTAAGGAGGGGGCCGAACGTCTGGGTCACTTCACTGCAGCGAATTGAGCTGGAAGTGGGAGCGGGTACCTGTCAAAACCAGGTACCTGCTCCCCCTCCCTCCAAAAAGGTGCCAAATATGGCAGTGGATTGGGGAGGAGGCAAATAAGTGGAGCTTCTGCTTTTGAGTGGAACTCCGCTTTAGGTGTTTCCCAGACTATAATCAGTTGTGTCCTTACTTAGAACTCTTTGCTGTGTTCAGGGGCGGACTGACCATTTGGAAACTCGGGCACTCAGGCCTAGGGACAGTAGGGGGCCCCATGAGATGCCCCTGGTACCTTTTTCATAGGTTTTTTTGAGTTTGGGTAGGTACACAGGGGCCCCATGATCCCCTATTGCCCGGGGGGCCCCATGAGTTGTCAGTCCGCCCCTGTCTGTGTTCTTATGCAAACAAAAGTATAAATATAATGCAGCTTCCTTAGATAAGGTCACTGCTTTTGCTTTGATTTTTTAGGCTGAGCACATTTTTGGTATACACAGAACATACTTGTTGATCTTCCCAGAAATGCTTTCTGCTTGTGAACCTAAAAAACACAAAGAACCTCATATGTCTTTTTTAAACTACTAGTCCCATCAATTCACCATGTAATGGAGATGAACTAAGGCAAACACGTCTGAAGTGCAGTCTGTGTAGCAAGCCTGGCTGCCCCTGCAGATATAATGAGAAAATTATTGTAGACATGAAGGGGCATAAAAAGGAATTATTTGCAGGATCACCAGGTGAAAATAAGAGAAGAAAAGCCTGAAAAAAGAAAACTAATGCAGCAACCACATCTAAGGTAAGTTACAATATACTGTATACCAATTTTGTTTTTGAATTTAGAATTTTATGTTCCTATTTTATGTTCCTCTTTAATACACTCTTTTGATGTATTGCATGTAAGTTGGAAAAGCTGCAGCAAACTTAAATTCACAATAAAATAATATACTAGTCAGCTATATTGGAATCAAAATATCCTTCCTTTAAAGCACTACAAAATACAGTATATATATATTTTTTATTTTTTATGCTCCAGAAAGCAATACTCTGAGTCATCTGAGTAATCTTAGATTGTAAGCTCTAATGAGCAAGGCCATCTGAATCCTCCTGCATTAATTTGTATTGTAAGTGTACTGTCTGCCCTTATGTTGTAAAGCGCTGGCTGCGTAAACTGTTGGTGCTATATAAATCCTGTATAATAATAATATAAACATTGGTGGTTTGTCATATTCTTTGCTCCAGATCAAAGGTGTTGCTAGTAATGTGACAGACCTGGGACATCCTGAAAGAAGTAATAATGAAGGGTGCTAGGCATGCTGTGGTAAATGATGAGTGTGGTC